TTTCTGAGTCTGTGTTACCTCAGGATGATTTTTCTAATTCCATCCATTTGCCTGCAAATTTCACAATGTCATACTTTTTAATACTGAGTAATAATACTCCATTGTGTAAATGTGCATTTTCTTTATCCATTCTTGAGGAATATCTAAGTTGTTTCAGGGTTCTGGCTATTATGAATAGAGCAGCAATGAACATAGTTTAGCAAGTGTCCTATGGTAGGATGCAGTGTCCACTGGGTATATGCCGAAGAAGGGTATAGCTGGATCTTGAGGTAGATTGATTTCTCAGTTTTCTGAGAAATCACCATATTGATTTCTATAGTGACTATACAAGTTTACACTTCCACCAGCAATATATGAGTATTCCTCTTACTCTACATCTTTGCCATATGAGCTGTCACTTGCATTATTGATCTTAGCCATTTTGATGGTGTAAAATGTAATCTCAAAGTAATTTTGATTTACTTTTCCCTGATGACTAAGGATGTTGAACATTTCTTTGTTCCTCAGCCATTTGAGTTTCCTGTATGAAGAATTCTGTGTTTAGATCTGTAACCAATTTTTTTTATTAGATCATTTGGTTTTTTTAGATCAAGTTTCTTGAGTTCCTTATATATTTTGGGTAGTAGTCCTCCTATCAGATGTGGAGTTTGTAAAAATCTTCCCATTGTATAGGCTGCCACTTTATTACAGTGAAGGAAAAATGCTTTATAGCAGCCAGGAGGAAGGCCCACTTCCTAACAGTCTACTAAGGCATGAATTCATCTGTGGATTAATTCACTGAAGTTAGAGCTGTCATGATTCTGTTGCTTGTCAAGGCTCAGCATTGAAGCTATTGAAACTAAAAGACTTAGTTTTGAGTACCTGAGTCTTGGGGGGTGGGGCATTATATCCAAATCATAACACAAACTAGGAACTCTTGGATCATATATAATTTGGTGTTGATGTTTTGAGAATCTTCTGATTTACATCTGTTTGCATTGTACAAGGGTTCCAGTTTCTCTGGATTCTCTCCAACACTCTTCTTTTTTATAACCATCCTAGTCAGTATTAAATTATGGTCTCATCAGGCTTTTGATTTGCTTTTCACTAATGACTGATTTTGAGTGTCTTTGCATGTGGTTTTAATTTTTGTTTTTGGGGTTGTTTTTTTTTTAGCTTTAATGAAATGTTTGTTCATGTCTTTTGCTTACGTTTCTAGTTATATGCCTTTTTGTTAAATTGAAAGATGCATTTTATGTATTTAAAGTATTGTAGCAAACATAATTTGCAAATATTTTCTCCCATTCTGTAATTTTTTTTCTGAGGTGTCATTTTTCTAGTAGGCTATTATTAAATAGACTTTGCTCCTGTTTAACTTTTGCTATATTTTATAATTATGCAGTCAGATGTTACCTTAAATTTTACATTATTTTAGAAATGTTTTTACATTGTGAAATTATTAAAAGGGTATCTACTGTCCATGTGGGTTTGCTTCTAAATATAAAAACTACCTTTATTTACTAGCTGTACGTATTCTGGATACTTAGGCTAGTGCTAAAGTCTTCAATGCTGTGTAAAAGAGGATAACCCACCTCATTTCATTCTCCCTAAAAATGTGAGAAAATGTAAGATAATATAAAATTGTTTGTGCGCCTGAATACAGTGTCTTTACAGAGCCTAAAATAGAATAATAATGAAACTAAACTTTACCATGGAGTTATTGTACAGATGAATTTAAACTCATGGTGTGATTCTAAGTAAAATTTAGCATCAAGGAAAGGCATTCCTGTTAGGAAAATCCTTTTAAGTAATTCTTTGCAACATTACGTTACTGAAATATCCAGAACTATCGTTCTTTTTGTGTCCCCGAGTTCTGGTTCTCTTTCTGAGACTACTTTCTTAATTTAACTTAGAGCTAATGGTGAGAATTCCATGAATTAATTTCTTGGATCTATTTTACATGCATTTTTAGTAAATAAAGTACTGTTTGGCATTGAAAAGTATTTTACATAGAGTAGCAACATTAGGATAAGTGCTGGTTTAGTATTGGGGTGTGTGTGTGTGTGTACATAGATGCATACCACAACATTTAATTAGGGTTGCTTGCATGAGCATTGGTACAAGGGCAACTTGTAGAGTGGCCATGTCCCAGGGCAGTATTGCTGCCCCTACCCCAGCAAGCATTAACTGCCTTCTTAGAGATAAGTGAGACCTTGTGTTGAAGATCCCAGTCTTAGCAGATAACAACAGCCACTGTTTTTTTTTTTTGTTTGTTTGTTTGTTTTTTAATGAGTGCAGTAGCCATGTCAGATTCAGGACATAGCATTTTACAACACAGTCTCCCATATTCTGGTTCTTATATTCTTCCCTCCCTTCCCTAAGCCTTGGAGTAGATAATATAGATGTCCTGGACAGTGGCTGAGCCCTCAACAATCACTTATTCTGAGCACTTTAACCAGTTAAGGGTCTCTATGTTAACCTACTGCTCACTGCAAAAAGAAACTTGTCTAATCAAGGCTGAGAAAGCACTAATCACTAGATGTAAACATAAATGAAAGCAATGTGACATGTCTGGTTAGGAAAACAACTAATAGGTTTCCGCACCTACAACATACCCCACCTCCCAACCAGCTGTGGGACTTTGACCAGGTTGTCCCTAATAAGCATGGATTCCCTCTGATGGAATGAGCCTCAAATCCAGGTCAGAAAGCAATTAAAAGCAATTGATTACCCCTGTAACAGTTATGCCACTATTATACAAATGGGTGTATCATGTCTGGCAGTATTGTAGATCAGTATTGTAGAATGCAGGGTCCACAACTGAATGAGACTTGATGACTTTTTCAGCAGTGTGCATAGCACCTTTCAGCCCTATAAAGTTGAGTCAGCAGAAGGCAAAGCATCCAATTCAGTTCCACCTTGATTTTTGTCTTGTAACCAAAGTATGTGGTGTCTTCAGCAGAGGGTTCTGACCATTCAGTTCTAGTGGGCAATTGCCTTTGGGTTTGTTTGTTTGTTTGTTTGTTTGTTTGTTTGTTTGTTTGTTTGTTTATAATCCCAATGGCCTTAAGTCATGATCCTTCTATCTGAGCCTAAGTGGTATTGTAGGAATACCTCCTACCACTTTTGTGTGATGAAACACCATGACCATGGCAACTCTCTTAAAGGAAAACATTTACTTGAAGCTTGGTTACAGGTTCATAACGCGAACAATAATAGGTCCAGCCTATTGTTTGCTCCCAGGGTCCGCGGAATTGTCTACCAACCAGCTGAAGATTCTAATCTGAGGGATAGTCAGTAAATCTAAGCACAGAGTTCTTTAGTCCATTCGCTGTATTCTTCTATGGCGATTTCCATCTACACAGTTTCTTTTCTGCTCTCTTACTTAGCTCCTCTCGGTCCCTCCTGCTCTCAGTTCCTTTTGCTGTTCTCTCATCATTCTACCTAGTTCTTTCCATCTCCATCCTCATCTTTGTTCTTTTCCATCAATCCTGTTCTCAGTGCCCTCAGAGAACCAGTATATATATATATATATCCACACAGTAAATTTTTGGAAAGCAATGTGAGGCTTGAAGTTTTCAGGGTCTCAGAGAGAGGTGGTAAGGACCCACACATAAAGCAATTAATTGTCAGCTTCCAATTACAACCCACAAGGGGAGTTCTCTGGTAGGGGCAACTAAAGCCTAAGACCAATTAGGGAATTTATTGTGCTCAAACTATAATCTAGAAATAGCTAGGTAGAATGTTAGGGGTCAACTCACAAGAAAGTAAACTGTCTTTGGCGCCACTTTTCCCACTCATCCCAGCTGCAGCTGCTTTCTGATAGGGAGGGGGACATATATTAGGTGGCTAAGCAACCTATGGCAGAGCATGTAGTAGTTGGTTAGTAAAAGCACTTTCACTCAGAGTAATTGCTGAGGAGAAAATCTAGGAATAGCACCTGGCTGAGGAGGAGTAAAAACTTAATTTGCACAAGAAAGAAGCTTGGCACCTGTTGCCTGCCTGGCCTGGAGGCAATCTCCTTGGGTCAGTGGGAAGTAACTGCCTTAACTCAGTATCTAGCAAATGGCTAAAACTTCATCCCAGGAATGTGAGCAGTAAATCTCTTAAATTAGGGTCTTGTGTAAATAACCTGGGTTGATGGTAAGGAGTTGAGGATTTAATTGTTAGTGGTTCTTTTCTCTATCTGTGAGATGAGCTAATGTTTATCTATGTGCAGTTTTGTCCTTGGAAAAAGGTATCTTTGCTGAAATACTTTTGTCCGGAGAATGGCCCTAGCCAGATACATGTTAATGAAAAATAAACGCAGCTGGGAACAGTTGTCCAATTACCCCAAATGTATAGGGAAAGCTGTGCCCAAGATTGAGATGCAATCGTGAGATTACATGCACACTAACATGGAGATGCACGGTAAATGGAGAGAATCATAGCTGTTATTGCACAAGAAGTTTACAACAAGAGACAGCCAGTTCATTCAAAAGGCAGTAATCCCATAACACCTTGTGTGATGGTTCCTCTAACAGAACCCTTAGTTCTGATAGGTTGACCTTCTGAACACTAGTTGTCACTGCTGTATACTCTCATGGACTTTCACTACCAGCAGCTCTCAATAGGTTCAGAGGTTTAGTCTATTGTTGTCATCGCAGGAAAGGTGGTGGCATGCAGGCAGACATGGTGCTAGAGAAGTGCCTGAGAGCTCTACATCCAGATCCACAGGCAGAGAGAGAGATACTGGGCCTAGCTTGAGCATTTGAAACCCCAAAGCCAACCCACCAGTGACATACTTCTCCTACAAGGCCACACCAACCCCAACAAGGACACACTAATAGTACCACTCCATGATAATGAAGCATTCAAATATATGAGCCTATGTGGGTCATTCCAATTCAAACCACCACTAGGCTCAAATAAAGACCCATGTTATTTCAGTGTCCTCTTGTTTTTTATTAATAAACGTGTGGTGGTGGGGGTGGGTATTTTGCTGGTTAACTGAAAACTTGAAAAGAATTGTTTTCACCTAGATCCCAAGGAAGAGAAAGAAGATGATTCTGTCCTCCCTCAGGAAGTTTCCATTTCTGCAACGAGACCTAGCCGGGGCTGGCGCAGTAGTAGCAGGACATCTATCTCTCGCCTTCGAGACACTGAGAATACTCGCAGCTCTAGGTCCAAGACTGGTTCGTTGCAACTTGTCTGCAAGTCAGAACCAATTACAGATCAGCTTGATTATGGTACGGTGCAAATACAGTATTATTACTCCAATGCCTAATTGGTTCTTTAATCTCAAATGTAATGCTGAGCATTTACCTAAATGTCTTAAATTTCTGGGGACAGGTGGTAATGTAGGTAGGATTTGTTTTAGATACATTGTAGATAGTCTCCATTTACAGAACTACTTCAGTGATTTCACTTAATCTTTGACTATGAAAAGAAAATGTCTTGTGTGTGTTTCTCAGTAAATTTTGGTTTTATTTCCTAGACGTTCCAGAAGAACATCAGTCTCCCGGTGGCGTTAGGTACAAAGTTTATTTCATACTTAAATCTTTGAATACTCAATTGCATTAAATGATTGAGACTTTTATTTGATAGAATTTTGAGCTGTTAAATTAACTTCATTTTTAATATATCACACTTAATATTCCACATTTAATTTAAAATGGACTGTAAAACACAAAACTTGATTTCCTAGTTCCAAAAGCATGTATTGAGTATATTCTCTGGGTGAAATTATTCTGTGTTGGCACAGAAATACAAGTATCTTGCCAGTGCCTTTCATGGTACGTTGGTAATTTAATATTGATTAAATCTTTTGTCTTTTTTATCAGACATAGAATTACAAACTCAGTTGTCTAAGTCTTTGTGCCATTGGGCAATTATTTCTTGTTTTTACTTAAAAATGTTATAGTATATCTTATTTGTGGATTCTGAGTTCTAAGTATTGCTTATAAAAAAGGAGTTTAGAATGTAGTCCAATCAGATCATAAGGATAAAAATTTTAGGTAATGTGATTGGCTGTGTCTTAAGTATTCTAATTCAGTCCTATCAGATAATCCTTGGAGCCAGAATTTATCATTTGTTTGCTTATTTTTAGTAGTGATGAGGAAGAGGAGGAGGAAGAAGAGATGTTAGTCAGTGAAGAGGAAATACCATTCAAAGATGATCCAAGAGATGAGACCTACAAGCCTCACCTTGAAAGGCATGTTTGAAATTTTTACTGTATGTGCTAGTGAAAAATAAATAGGAATACACAGTTGATTATGTTTGTTTTATTTTTGTTGCAAGATTAAATAAACATAAAAATAATTTTAAATGAGAGATTGTTTTGCAAATATAACAACTTATTCTCACATAACCCTCTCTTTGATCTGTTGAACTTTAATATTAACTATACTATTTAGTAGATGTGTGCATGTTTTAATAAGGTTTTCTGGAATGTTTAGAATTGTTTCGCTCAGTATCTTTTTTTCTCTTTGCAACTATAGTAAGATTTGATTTTTATGTTTTTGGCCTGCCTGAGTTTGCATTACTGTTGCTATGAAGACCAATGATGACCAAAAGCAAGTTTGGGAGGAAAGGGTTTATTTGACTTACTCTTCCACACCTGTTGACCATCACTGAAGGAAGTCAGGACAGGAACTTAAGCAGAGTGAGAACCCGGAAATAGGTGCTGAGGCAGAGGCCGTGGAGGGACACTGCTTCCTTCCTATCTTACTCAATCATGGCTTCCTCAGCCAACCTTCTTACAGAATCCAGTACCACCAGCTCACATCCACACTGGACTTGGTTTTTCCCCTTAAGGAGACATTTTCCCAGTTGAGGGTCTCTCCTTTCAGATGACTCCAGCTTGTGTCAAGTTAACATAAAATTAGCCAGTATAAAGCAGTATTCACCTGTGCTCGCTTCGGCAGCACATACACTAAAATTGGAACGATACAAAGCAGTATTCACCCATGAACATAATATATATATATACATCATTGCTATGGGGTTGAGGAATGGACAGTTGATGTTGTGGTTTGTAAGCTGAGAATCACAGCTTCAGAATAATGAGATAACGATAAATACTAAACTTTAACCTGGTATCATACACTACCTTTAATGAAGTCTTTGTTAGAATATTTGTATTGAGATATTTTTCTGTTTGCAGGGAAACCCCAAAGCCACGGAGAAAATCAGGGAAGGTGAAAGAAGAGAAAGAAAAGAAAGAAATTAAAGTGGAAGTAGAAGTAGAGGTGAAAGAAGAAGAGAATGAAATTAGGGAAGATGAGGAGCCTCCTAGGAAGTGAGTAGGCAGTTTCTACAAAAAGTGGAAACCTTTCTTTTAAATGGTTTCTTTTAAAACCATTAGTAGACAGGCTTCAAGGTACATGAGAGTGTGTGTGCACATGTACGTGCACACATGCATACACACACATTCGAGCATAGAGCATTTAATCCCAGCACCTGGGAGGCCAACCTAGTCTACATAGCTAATTACAGCCCACCCAGGGCTACATAATGAGACCCTCTCAAATAAAATACCCAAGTACACAAAAGATGTGTGGTAAATTGCTCATGTTAAGCAATTTGAGTTTCTTTGGGGCAACTCCTCAGAAGTTTGAAAGTTTGTTTTGGTGTTGGTTTTGTTTCATTGCAAAGTAATATATAAAAAACAGTCTCTATGGGGATACAGAGGGAATAGAAAAAGCCGGGGGGGGGGGGGATCAAATGTGTGTTCTCAAAAACTAATAGGTTAAATGATACAGAAGCCTTGATTCTGTAAAGACTTTCCATATGGCGTACACTTTGTTGCAGAAATAAGATTAAGTGTTATATTATCCTCGATTGTCTTTTTTGATTAATTGCATTTAGATGGTGAACTCTTTACTATAACTAGCCTTCAAGTAATAACATTGAAATTTAGTCAGATATTTCATAGTAATGCCTAGTTTACTCCAAGGTAAAGAATAATTTATGAGTGGAATTACCTCAGAGTAAATCTGGCTTGATGGCCAGATGCCTTTGTTTTTTTTGTGGTGTTGGTTATGCTCTGTGTCTGCCACCTGTTCTTTGGCCCCTAGAGTGTGCTTCAGCCGTCCTTATCTCCATAAGCTTCCATCTAGAATATTTAGTAAACTGTTCTTTCTTAAATTATAGGAGAGGGAGAAGGAGAAAAGATGACAAAAGTCCACGGTTACCCAAAAGGAGGTGAGGCATTTCTGCTCCTTTTTTATACCTTAAGTCTTTGATAGGTGTTTGAGTACTTTAGCTTTCATAAGCAAAGGAGGTGTGGCTTATTGAAAATTGCACAGATTTCCTTAGTGTCCATAATACACAGATGGTGTGTTTTCATTTTCATTGAAGAATGCTGAGTCGTCTGAAATCCTCAGTATTTTATAGCTTGCTAGCTTATTCATGCTATTTTAAACTATCAAGCATTTGGCAGTTTGATTACTTGAGTACAAATTTTCTGAAACCTTTGTATTTCTGTAGATGTTTTAATTTATATGAGACCTCTGTTATCACATTATGTATAGAGTATCAGTTCTCTTGCTAACTTTTTTTCTGCTAACTTTTTTCTAACATTTTGGTAATAGAAAAAAACCTCCAATCCAATATGTCCGTTGTGAGATGGAAGGATGTGGGACTGTTCTTGCTCACCCTCGCTATTTGCAGGTCAGTGAAGTTGTTACACAAGACAGTCTTTGATACAGTGTCCCTTACTTACTTATCTCCTAAGATGTCAATTTGTGTAACATTTGTAAACAATAAAATGTGAAGAAAAATATTCCTAAATATAAAATTGCATAAATCATCTTTACTACACTTGTACTTCTTTAACAGAATACCTAAGACTAGTAATTTAAAGAACAAATGTATTGGCTTTTGGTTCTGAATCCCTTAGAAGTCTTAAGAATGTGGTACCAGCATCTGGAAAGGGGTCTTCTTACTTCATCACAGAGTAGTATAAGGCTGAAGGACAAGAAGGAAGCATGAGGAAAAAACGGGGATCTGAGTTCACTTTGTTAACAACTTTAAACCATTTGTGAGGACAGAATATATCTCAGTGTTTATTACATTGAAGACTTAGATTTTCAACACAGGAACCCTGGGGGATACACTTAAACCTTACTTAGCACATTCTATTAAAGAAATACTAATGAAGAACTGAAAACCCTGAGCCCAAGTACAGGACTTCTTGGACTTTTACAGTGTTACATTATGTTCAAAATGGTTTGAAGAAGTCTTTATAACAGATTATTGAAACAATACACAAAGACACAGAATAGGGCTGGAGAGATGGCTCAGAGGTTAAGAACACTGGCTGTTATTCCAGAGGTCCTGAGTTCAATTCCCAGCACCCACATGGTGGCTGAAAACCATCTGTAATGAGATCTGATGCCCTCTTCTGGCCTGCTGGGATACATACAAACAGAACACTGTATACATAATAAATAAATAAATCTTTAAAAAAAAAAGACACAGAATAATAGATTTTAACTTTAATATATATTAGGACAAAATGAATATAGCATTCAAACAAGTGATTTCTTTGAGATAGTTCAAAATGCTTTTTTTTGTTTGTTTGTTTGTTTGTTTGTTTGTTTTAATTTTTGGTCTTTTTAAGTTTTCCCTTAAGTGAATAGATATTTTATTGGCTGGGTTTGGGGGTATGTACAAGTCTCGCAGGAAACGGAATTGAAATAGTGAAATGCTACTTGGGAAATTCCTGTTAGTCTTTAGCCGCAAATATGAGAAACTAAGACCTTACTTTTGGAGTATAGTTTTGTTACAGTAATACTGGGTTTGGGTTTTGGTGTGTGCCATTTGGTATACCCATTATTGTGTTTTTATTTTGCAAATGAAAACTAAAACTTGAAATGTTTAAGTACATCAAAGATCACATTGCTAGTGAGTGACAAGTGTAGATCCAGGTCTTCCATACCCTGTGTTCTTTACCATTTTGCTCTGCTAGTTTTCCTTTAGAACCTTTTTGATTTAGCAAAAAGGAAAAAAAAAAAAAAGAATGTTGAGAAAACTTAGTTTTCCTTTTCACTTTCCTTTTTTGCTATTTTAGCACCACATTAAATACCAGCATTTGCTGAAAAAAAAATATGTATGTCCCCATCCCTCCTGTGGACGACTCTTCAGGCTCCAGAAACAACTTCTGCGACATGCCAAACATCATACAGGTACATTTCTAAACGGTTTATCATGTAGCCAAGTGAACTGCAGTTTGGGCGTATAGTCTGGTAATGTAGCAAGATTTTTCTAGTACAAGTCTTCTTAAAAGGTCCTAGCGGAGAAGCATAGGACAATAAACGTTAATAAAATATAAACATATAGAAATTTAAATATGCCATTTTTGAGTTGAACTTGGGTTCACACACCTATAATCCCCAGCACTGGGAAAACTAAAGCTGGAGTTTGAGTTGTAGGCCAGGCTGGATTGCATAGACAGAACCTGTTTTAAGAGCTGGAGATAGAGAAGATATAAGATCTCATTAAGAAGCCTTGGCTGTACTGGAACTCACTGTGGAGACCAGGCTGGCCTCAAACTTCAACCCATCCTACCATAGTTTCCCATGTATTGGGATTGACATTCATTGGTTTTCTAGTCTTAAAATAACCTTGTTGTTGGGATAAAGCGCTTGCCCTGCAAGCATGAGGACCAGAGATGAGATACTCTAGGACCCATATAAAAGCCAAGTAGATGGCTTCCTATAATCCTAGCACTTGGAAAATAGCATCTATAGAGCAATCTGGCTAACTATCAGGAATCAGTGCTCTTTGGGTTCTGTGAGCAATCCTGCCTCAAAGAATAAAGTGGAGAGCAATTCCAAAAGATAACTGACTGTAACTTCAGTTATACAAAACCAGAAGTTTAAAAGAATTAAAAAATTTGCCAATGATCACCTAATTAAACAATCAGAATCTTTTAACTCTGCTTCAGGTAGATACTTATCAACAAAGATAGACACTTGATAGTAGCAGTTAGGGATAAAAGTAGAATGAACATTAATGAGAAATCCTAAACAGTAAAGGGGGCCGGGCGGTGGTGGCGCACGCCTTTAATCCCAGCACTCGGGAGGCAGAG